GACGTCCTGCCAACCTAACATTTTAAAATGAATACGTAGTGTTTAACTATCACGCAGTGGTTGAATTTTCAAAACTCAATGACTCATAATTTGCTTCAACGTTCTCTGTCATCCCGATCGCAATCCTTGCAACCCGTTGTGTTCGAACCCGTGATCTGTTGATTAGAAGTCCAACGCCCTAACAACTGAGCCGTGGGCGGTTGCAATCAATATATTAACAACGATAGAATGGCGTTCACCGATTGCACTACGGGACACCTCCCGTTGTGCCTTGCGACTCAATCTGTTCTCTGTTATTTATATGTGGCATAGTTATCCTTCATTTCTCAAAGATTTTTTGCAATGGTAAAAAGATTTTTTTCTGCATCTACTCTTTGTCACATCGTAAGCAACCGTTTTTGTGCTTCACGTTTTATAGGCATCCGGCCAAAAAGGACGCAGGCATCCGAAATATTTTAATTACGTCCGCACTACCCTATGTCAACAACGTCCCACATCTGGGTAATCTAATTGGATCCCTGCTTAGTGCAAACATCTTCTCGATATACTGCGAACTTGCTGGCTATAATGTCCTATCAATCTGTGGTACGGATGAATACGGCACGGCAATTGAAGCCAAAGCACAAACCGAGGGTCTTTCGCCAAGTCAAGTTGCTGAGAAGTATTCTGCCCTGCATCAACAGGTCTACGATTGGTTTGATATTCACTTTGATTATTTTGGACGCACTTCCACCCAAAAGCACACCGAGTAAAAATTGCATTTATTTGTGGTTCTAATTACCCATTTCTAGGATCACCCAGGAAATGTTCACCCGCCTAAATTCAAATGGCTACATCGCAGAAGCGTCTGTAGAACAACTTTTCTGTGAAAAATGTTCTAGGTACGTATCTAGTGTTCTTGCACACTGAGTGGTATCTCAGATCTTTAGCCGACCGTCTTGTCGAGGGAATCTGCTATTTCTGTAAGGCAGATGGTGCCCGTGGCGATCAGTGTGATGCTTGCGGCAAACTGATAAATGCTGTGGAGCTGATTCAGCCTCGATGTAGCACTTGTGGAACAACCCCGGTCGTTCAGTCCTCTGATCATCTTTTCTTGGATCTTCCCAAGGTATTTACAAAATCCGCCGTTCGACATTTGCAGCCCTTTTCTCTCTGCATAAATGGTTAATATATGCTAACTAAAGTGTCATGTGGCCTTTTGAACCTCGAGTGTAATACAGTTCACAGTGAAACTCACAAATAAACCGTTTTATTCAAATGTATTTTGACGTTTTACTGGGCTACAGGTACACTACTTGCTATACTGTAGTACACTACTTAAACTACATCATCTCGAGTTTTCATATTGGGTCCTGCCCATGTCGGCGTTTGATCCAAAGGGACTAGACTTAAGTGCGTCCTATCATACTGTTTCAACTACTACAGACTGCTTAGAAACAAATGTTTTTTTCATGAATTATCATTCTTCTCATTCATGTTAGTTTAACTCGCAGGTTTCCTTTCTAATGAACTTTATTTGTTTCTTTGGATAGAACCGTTAGTCATTTTATTCCATTAGTATTAAGTTTCAAGACTTAGAGTAGTACGCATCCCCTACAGAAACTGTCTTGTGCTTAGCAGGCGTATTTATCTGAATAAATTGATGTTTTATGCACACAGCTGGAAAGACAGGTGGCGTCCTTCTTCGAACAGCGCGTCAACGACCCAAGCGCTAACTGGACTCAGGTCGCCCAGAGTATCTCTCGGGCCTGGTTGCGAGACGGACTGAAACAGCGCTGTATTACGCGCGATCTGAAGTGGGGAGTTCCAGTGCCTTTAAAGAAGTTCGGCCACAAAGTACGTCGGAAAATTTTACTTTGTCGTAATATATTTTCTGATTAAACTCGCAGACATCTGATTTGTTTGCAGTTAAAGTTATCGCGTGTGGGGGATAAGCTCATCCACAAGGTGTCTACTGGCTTCGTCTTTTGAGTGTCAGTCTAAGCCGTATTGATATATACTTAGGGGGTTCTGGATCTAATTTTGTGTCTGTCCTTAAAAGGGCATCCCTGGGCCATTCAGTGTTCATTAACCCTTTAACGCCGCTTTTTCCTGATGGCCTCTTCTTGTCTGTGAACGACAATCATATCCAAATGTGACGATTGGAGGATCGCACGAGGTAACCGGAAAAGTTGATTATGTTATCAGGTATGACAGGGAACGACATGAGGCGGGTGCACGACGGTAAAACTTACCAATTTAAATTGCCCTTGCCATCTTTTACGTTTCTCCCTGAGTGAAATGCACAAATCTGACCACCGCTTGAGGCCAAAGTTACGCAAACCCTCCTTTAAATGTTTTCATACAAAGGATTACTCTTATGCGGGAAAATAAGCCCTGAGAAAAGATAGTAGAGTAGAATAAGGCTATATGAGGTACAAACATGCGATCAGTTCTGTCTGCTATAAAGACCAGTTATTGTTTTATCTATCTTGCTAACCATTCCCCAACAAATTGATGAAGAAGGGGCAACTTTGTGGACCGAAGTGTATTAAGACTGACGTTTCGGAAACTATCGTTTCCATCATCAGATTAACGTAGTGGCTCTTCTTGCTGGCCCTGACTGCTTCAGCCTTAACGGCTGTTCGGTATTTTATCTGTGCCCGACGTATGAACTGCCTGTTCGCCGCTGATTACTATTGACAACGCCGAGATTGACCACTGGTACACTTGCTGGGCATTTGTCCTTCTTGCGGCCACCATAACTGTTGGAAAGTCAGCCTGCTTATTGGC